CTCTCCCTTCTCTCCCTTCTCTCCCTTCTCTCCCTTCTCTCCCTTCTCTCCCTTCTCTCCCTTCTCTCCCTTCTCTCCCTTCTCTCCCTTCTCTCTCTCTCTCTCTCTCTCTCTCTCTCTCTCTCTCTCTCTCTCTCCTATAATTACCTAAGGAACACCTACTTATCATTTGAGTCTCTATATAAGCAACATCTCCCTAGATAAATATTTTCTCCTTTCGTCTCTGTCAAATGGGGAAAATAATCTACTATGGTACCAATCACGCCATGTTAGTTATTTGTTTACACATTTGACTCAATGACTAGACAATGGAATCTTGAATACGTCTTATTCATCATGTCAGATGGTGCACAATACTTGGAACATGGTATAGATATTTCATAAAAGTCAGATGAATTAAATAACTCTAAAATTCTGTCTTTATCTTACACTGTACTACTTAAAATTTCCCTTTTCTGGCTGTGGATTATGTGATTTTCCTGTAAAAAGTCAAGTTTTTAGACAAATCATCAAAATAATTCAGTTTCCAAAGTTCTAGGTTAAAAATAGTTCATTCTGAAACATTATATAAATCATCACCAAATCACCTAATCATCCAAAGGATGATTTTTCCCAATAACAAAAAGGAAAAGCAGTCATCCAGCTCCCGAAATTTACAAGTTCCTAGAATATTCTGCACTTATTTATAGGTTTTCATAACTACTTGTTCCTTAATTACATGATTCCCTTTAATTGGATAGCTCTGAAAAAAGCTCACGTGAATTACTAGAAATAATCAACTTTCGGAGCTCACATCTCATAGCACGTTTGTGAACATCCAAGAGTCCGTTTTAAGTTGTATGTATGTTTTTATGAAATGAGTTACCTAAAGTATAACTCTATTCTTTTATGCTTTCAGGTTACCAGACAATTTCATATTGGATGTAGAATATACAACAAAGTTATTTACATCTAATTTATGATAAAATCAAGTAAGTTTTACTGTCCAAGAGAATGATGATAGCGAGAAAGCTAATTAGCCCTCACTGAATTCCTTCTTTAGGTCCACTTTTTTAACCATACAACCTTACATTTCATTCCTTATAAATATTTCAGAGTAGTCATGGCTACTTACTTTTCAGGATTTTCCACTTCTTCAGTAACAAAGTTGAGATAAAACCTAAAAAGACATCCATGAATTATAAACCATTAATATATTTTATGATCATCACCCAAAGTTTGAAATTTTAAATATTTAAAATCAAACTCAGAATCATAAAAACTTTAGAAACAAACAACCTAAGATGAAAATCTCCAGCACCCAAAGCTCCCACAATTCATTTTTCTATTAAGCAGTATTTATGGAGCTCTTTTTTATTTCTTAACTTTTTCATAGAGGTATATAGAGCACGCAAACAGTAAAGTGAACAAATCTTAGTAGACAATGATAAATTTTTACATATGTATACACCTAGGTGACTGACAAAAGGATCGAAACATACAACATTTCTAGCACCCTGGAAGGTCCCCTCAAGGCCCTTTGCAATCATTATCATCTCCTCCGCCCTCCCGCAAAGGCAACCACTCTTCTGATTTCTACCACTCTAGATTAGCTTTGTTCGTTTCATTACAATAGACTAATAATATTTGCTTGTATAACTATTATACAATATTTATTCTACTGTGTCTGGCTTTTTTGCTGGACTTTGTGTCTGCGGGTCTCATCCATGTTGTCTGTAGTAATTCATCACGCTTTATTGTTGCTTTTCATTGTATGAATGTCACACTGTACACTCTACCGCTGATGGATATTTGAATCATTTCCAATTTACAGCTATTATGAACATAGATACCATAAATATGCTTGTATATGTTCTTTTGGGGACCACGCAATCATTTCTCTTGGGCATATACTCAGAATACGATCACTGGGTCACAGAGTAGATACATGTTTATAGTCAAACTATTTTCCTCCATTTTTGCATTCCTACCAGCAGTGTATGAGATTATCACATGTCAGTCACTGGGGAAATAAAAGTAGAAAATCTACAATCTTTCTTGTCAAGGAGCTCATAGTTCATAGAATGGTCCATAGAGTGGTGTTAGAGCATGCCCGGTTACCATGGAAGCCAGGGGTGAGGTCTAAACCAGACTGGCAGGTCTTGGAAGGTTTCTGAGAGAAGGCATCACTCAAGCTGAGTCTTCAAAAATGCTCGATGTTTAGCCCCAGTCAAGTGGCGTGAGGACATTCTAGACAGAGTACAGCGCATGAGCACGGGGGTGTGGGAGAGCGCTATGTGCACGGGGGTGTGAGCAACAGCGTAGTACTCTGAAGCACAAAGCGTGCCTTGGGAGTGAGAACAGGATGTAGGTACAAGATGGCCTTTGGCTTCTGGGAATCCAGCTTTTACTAGGCGTGATAAAAACTTGCAGGACAATAGAAGCATGATAATAGCATTTCTTAGTTTTAGGGGATTGGCTTCTGGATGTGAACACAGAAGGCACATAGGAAATAAAAATGGGATAAAGGATAATAAATTCTCAGTTTGCACTTTTTTTTTTTTTTTTTTTTTTTTGGCGGTACGCGGGCCTCTCACTGTTGTGGCCTCTCCCGCTGCGGACCACAGGCTCCGGACGCACAGGCCCAGCGGCCATGGCTCACGGGCCCAGCCGCTCCGCGGCATGTGGGATCTTCCCGGACCGGGGCACGAACCCGCGTCCCCTGCATCGGCAGGCGGACTCTCAACCACTGCGCCACCAGGGAAGCCCTCAATTTGCGCTTTTTCCTTTCGATGCACTGTTTTCCAATATGCATCCCACCCAAATAACCTCGTCATAAGGCAACTATGCCTTATGCATAATGGCAACGGTGAAGTTGCTTTGTGTGTGTGTGTATTTAGGCAGCTAATTTTAGGCCCACTGTTAGTCATCACACTGTAAGTTGATAAGTAAAGGGCAGAACACTTTGAATATTTCCCCCAGATCCTGGACACTTCTGTCATCTCTTACATGACAAGAAGCATTGGAGGCACACAATATTTCACTTTCCAGTCCCATAGGATTACACATATTACCGTAAATTTATGGCCCTAGAGAAATTCAGATTCCTTTCCCTCACTTTATGACATTACTTATCCCATCCAGGCATGTCAATTGCCTTGCATCCTTGACTTCTTTTTCTAATCTAAAGTGACTTCTCGAGACCATTTAAAGCCCTTAAAGTTCTCTTTCAAGGTTCCAAGATGTAAGATTGAGGCAGACTCCTCAAATAGAGATAACCGGATCATGAAGATGGGAGAACTAAGGGATCGTAACGAAGAGAACTAGACATACAAAGACCTTTCTACTTCTCCATTTCAGAGGCTTAGAAACTTTGCGCAAAGTAAAAAAGTCATATTTCCATTGTATTCCTCTATGCTCTAATTACTCCTTAGAATATAAAATAGCTATTATATAGGTCCACAGAAGCATGGTTCTACAGGGACAAATTCTCTATCATCTAAAACCAAGAGGCTGGAATATTAGCCCATCAGCCTTTAATATAATTAAGGTATCTCACACCTTAAAGCAAAGATGAGAAAACCTGTCTTATTCCACCTTTATTCACAAACAGGCAGTTGATGTTCATGGTTGTAAAACAAAACAAAACAAAACACAAGACAACAGGCCCAAAATGGAGTCGCTTATGCTAAGCCTCGTGTCACCAAACCGAACTGTAATTCACTTAAAGTTTCAGATCTCCCAGAAATGGAATCTGAAACCAGTCGATTAGGAATTGCATTGTCTAAGCATTCTGCCTGACAGACCCCTGCCATCCCCTAAATGAAAATAACTTTGTGATAGCTAAGCTGTTTTATGGCTTAGTATAACTTCCTTGTTCTCACCGCCTTCTGCCTATAAAAGCCTTCTCTTCTGTACAGCTCCCTGGAGCTCCTTTCTGTCTGCAAGACGGGATGCTGTCAATTCATATCGATTTTTTGCTCAAACTCTTAACATTTTAACATGCCTCAGTTTATCTTTTAATAAAGTTCAGGTGTCTAATACTGTAAGGACCATGTTCTAAGTAGAAATATTTGAATACCTGAGAGAAAACAGTAGCAGCAAAGGTGATCTAAAAAGTCAGCAGGGGAGCCAAGTATGTGTTTTAACGACTAGAAAGTAAGTTTCTAAAAATAGAGGTTGTAGTTACACCAGGAACGCAAGCAACAATCAATACTTATATCTGGAATATGCACTCTGAGGGATCTGATGTGTTTGCTATAAGCCCAAGGCAGTGGGAAGTACAGGAAGAAAATGAACAAAACAAAAAACCTAAAAAAAAAAAAAAAACCCACGCAAAAACCACACACACACTTAGAAATATTTCCAGGCTTCTCACTTCAAAAATACCCAGTTCCTTCTCAACAGTTGTTTTAGAACTGGTCTTTTTCCAACAATGTTAAGGCGAGAAAGGAAATATGAAAAAAGAACGCAATTGCAAATATTTTGCCATAGAGAAAAGGAAAGGGCTTGGGACAGGGTGGGAGGTGGGAAGGAGAAAGCTTCTTATTTTGGTCCAAACATTCACTCCTGTGGGAAATACACCTTTATGCTCTCTAAGTCTCCAGCCATGCGTCCATAGCCCATCTCCTCAAGTTCTCTAGAGAATGTTCATAAGATCCATTGTTCCAGCTTTTCCGTGATTGTGTATAAAAGGCACTGCAAGGCTGGCAATGCATTCTGATACCCAACCATGTGAATTATTTTGAAACGAAGCTTATTCTTTAGATTCGATTTGACACAATGCTACAAAATAATCCCAGCAGGTGCTTTAGAAAGACTAAATCCACTGAGGATAGGATTTAAAAGGGAGAAAAAAGACAGACCAAAAAAACTATTTTCTATCACACAATTCAAAAAAAAAAAAAAAATCCCACCAAGCAATATTTAGCTTGGGATCAGGATATGGGACTGAAATTGACTGAGTTCCCCTGGGCCACAAGGGAGACTGGCGGACATACTTCTCTGAATGCAGACGTTGGCAATAATACAAAAGTTGTTCTGACCCAACTCTGTGGCCTGGCTGGGTTAATGATTTCTTTCCCCCTAATCATGTTTCCGTGAAGGAGTTTTCATCATTCTAAAAAGGTCCAGCACTCCTCATAAACCAACAGCCTGCTCTATTCAGGTCCAAGGTTTGGCTGCGTCTTGTTCCTATTCAACGCATAGGGGGTGACTTACTAACGGAACAGGGCCTCCCAGACAACAGGGGTCTTGCTGCGTTTACTTACACCCTGGGTGGTTAACTTCTGAGGACGACAGCTGCTTCTGTCTCCTTGTTTGCAATGCGCCCTACACTCTTTTTTTTTTTTTCTTTCCTTTTTTTGCATCAAAGATTGTCAGGGCAGCAGCAGCACAGGGAGCGGAGGCTCATTTCTGGCACCCAATGTATAATTCCACAACCCAGTCTTGTAATTCCATCACGAAAGACAAAAAAAAAAAAAAGGTCAGAGAGGCAGGATCACATTTGGAAAGTGCCTAAACACCCCCTGCTTTGGGAACTCTTTTAGTCTCCATCTTGTTGCGTTTACATCCAGAGAGTAACTTTTTCCTCCGGCGCTCCAAACCAACAGGCTAGTTCTTGTACCCACAGCTCCCTTTTTCTAAGACTGGTGGCCACGGAGTAACAAGTAGATGATTTCTACCTATCCACAAAGCAGCATGCAGGTGGCAGAACAGCCTGGTGGAGACATACAGTTACTTATCTGCTCCCCTACATTAACCATTGGTAACGCATAACAGTCCATTGAAAATCCCGGCCTTAATGTCCTACACTATGATTGAACCCTCTAGAATACAAGAAAACCAACAGTTTCCCGTTCTTTAACCTAGGATGCGGACATGAGGATTCGACGGGTAAAAGTATGACCAAAGGTTCACGTAAACCCCGTTTACACTGTAAACAGAGTATTGAAATATATTTCTAGGCCCAAGACGGAGCCACTCAACCTCCAAACGCCAAGCCGCCTCTGGGGTCTATAATTATTTCCTTGTTTCATACTCATTTTCTACTTTTCTTTGCTCCTTACTCTTCATCCTATAAAAGCTTCCTGTCCTCCACCCCATTTTGCAGTTCTTTGGACTCGTTTACTATCACCTAAATTGTCATTTCTAATCATTTTAACAAAAGTAACATTTGGGGTTCAGCATCAACAAAACTAAAGATTAAGATAATAAGATCATTCAAAATGAAAAGAGTCTTTATACTTGGAGAAATCTACCAGCCCTCAAAAACTTACAGAAGTGGAGAAGATTTGCTCTACATAAAGCAGGTTAACCTGAAGATTCAGCACTTACAGTAGGGGAGTGAGTTGGATAGAAGAATACTGTTAAGATTCCGTGGGAACAGACGCATGGTACTCACAGGCTAAAGAAACTTCATTCAATAGAATGAATCAAATCTCCCTCGTGATGATCTCCACATTCCGCATTCCTGATTGAATACCGCCAAGCCCCCAACACTTGGCTCTAGCTGAAAGCTTTTGTCACCTCCCCCACTTGCTCTGGTGTCTCTTGGTGACCCTCCCAGGGCTTGGCTGGTGCCCCAGGGTGCCAGAGCTGTGATCAGGCTGAATAGCCATAGAATAGATGATTCTGCTGCTAACCCTGGGAGCACAATTCCGTTCTATTTTTTGTTCAGCACCACGTTGTGCTTTGGACAAAAATAAAAAGACTTTAAAAATACTAAGAGTAATGCTTACACACAATGGCTATCAAAATATTTCGAGAATACACAAACATTTTACACTAGACATTTTAGAGCTACAGTCTTCTAAGAACTTCAAACATTTTGTTTCAAATACCATATTAAAACTTTTAGTTCCTGTACTCTCCTAATTCTCCTCTATAATTCAGTGAGATTAACAGGGTAAAACTATCTTTATATTCCATGCATTAGCTGGAAGGTAAGATCCTAAACACAAAAGAAACAAAAGGAAATTGTATTTGTATCTGAAATGAATTTACATAATTTTTGAGCTAGTTAGTTCATTATTTTTAGACTCATAGAACATTCTCACAACTGTACAACTATTAGCTCTATAAATAATAAAAAAGAAATAGTGCTAGTAATTATTCCAAAACAATGAAATTTAATGGCATTACAATTATTTTGATGTTTAAGTAGTATTTTTCTACCTAATGGGATTTCTTGCGGTAGTCGCTTCAACTAAATCTTATTAGATCAGTAAAATTTAATTAGGAAAAAAATCCCTCTCCTGGCCATGATTATTGTTATTCAAGTTCCTGAACAAAGCAAGACATAAATACAAAGCTTTAAGGCTTCAACCAGAATGGCATCACAGTTGGACAGGGATTTAAGGAAATGCACTTGTGGCACAGTGATTTTATTCATCCTTCCTGCATTTTTTTTGTTTTCAAGTGTTGAGGAAGTTTTAAGGAATCTGTAAGGTCCTTTAAAATGTAACAGATTATCTAGTACACCTGATTTCACTATCCCGTTTTCTCCTCCCTGCCTTTAGAGTACCATTTTACCTCCTGGGAACATCTTACTCATTTCTGTAACTGAATTATTTCCTTCTCATGGGAAGGTGGAGTAAATCAATTAATCACTATTGGGTACACTTCTGTAGCTTCTGCTGGGAGGCTTTCTGACAAAGTATCAATACTAATCTTTAATTTCTTGTGGTGCTCTTATGCCCTTACTGATCCATACTTATAAGTGATTTGTACTGGTTCTCAAGACCCAGCGTTTGTTTCTTTTTTACATTATCAGGTTAAATCTGGTAGTTGCCTTGACTGGAAACCTCAGTGATGTTTGTGTTAAGTTGTGTGCACGGTAATTGGCCTGGTGAAGGGAGCCACATCATCTTTCTCACTTCAAGTAAAGCATGTCACACTGGATTATCCCTGTTCACATTTGCCTAGCGCCTTGCTTGGCACTTAAAGTACTTGAAGGAATTAATGAACCACCCAAATCACCTGTTGATAGCGATATCAACTTACCAGCCAGCGTATGCATACATTCCATAATAAAAAGCCAGTGGCAATCCCATAATACTTGCATCTCTTCCTGAAAAGGCATCTTTAAAGTGTTGTGTTTGCCCTACAATAAGAATAGAAAGATTTAGGACTTTTCAAAGAATTGGTTATTATTCATTCTTTAACCATAAACATGAATGCGGGGATGGGGAGGGGGATTGGGAATGAACTATACAGTTTCAGGCCTAGATTTCTTACTCTCTGCTCATTCCCAACTTTATTAATGCTGTATCCATTCTACAGAAGGAGTCCCAAAAGTATACTGATTGCCACTAACACTACCTCACATTTATTTTAATAAAATCATGGCAAAGAGGAAAATGACATTTCAAAAACAATCTGTTTTTTAAGCACGCCTCTACTCGTAACAGAGTTTGACCAGGAAAGGAGACTAAAGGATAGTCTGTAAACTATAGTTTTTAGGAGTGTGACATAATTCTTAAAAATGATGATAATATAATGTTTGGGAAGAAATATTCAAGGGTCTATCTTCAATGAGGAGGCATGAAACCCAAGAACCACCTTCTCAGATCATTTAACTTACTTTCTGCTTTCTCCCTATAGTTCATTAGATACCAACAGGGGTTGGAAAACCCTGTGGAAGCAATCTGTTCCGCACCCCCAAGCTTCTTTTGTGAAGAAAGATTTATCAGAGCACAGTTAGGTCCACTTATTTACCTATGACTGATACCGTCAGTCTATGGCTAATTTCACTCTCCAGCAGAGCTGATAGTTCTGGCAGAGACCAACTGGTGCACAAAGTTGAAAACATTTACTATCCACCCATTTACAGAGAAAGTCTGCAGACCCTTTCCTAGAGAATGGCATGCTTTCCTTCTAGAAACAGAAAAGAAACTATACTGAACTCTAAAATAAACAGGTTTAAACAAATTTTTGCATCAACATGTGAACTGAGCACTTTTATTTTTTATAAATTTATTTATTTATTTTTGGCTGCGTTGGGTCTTCACTGCTGCGCGCGGGCCTTCTCTAGCCGTGGCCAGCGGGGGCTCATCTTCCTTGCGGTGCATGGGCTTCTCATTGTGGTGGCTTCTCTTGTTGCAGAGCATGGACTCTAGGTGCACGGTCTTCACTAGCTGTGGCACGCAGGCTCAGGAGTTGTGGCGCACGGGCTTAGGTGCTCCACAGCATATGGGATCTTCCCAGAGCAGGGCTCGAACCCATGTCCCCTGCACTGGCAGGTGGATTCTTAACCACTGCGCCACCAGGGAAGCCCTGGACTGAGCACTTTTATGCATAACAGTTTTCTCTACTTTATAAATCATAATGGGACTTTTCCGGTATATCTTTTGGATAATTAAAAAATAGAAATTCAGATTTACTTTAGTCAATCAGTATTCAAAGTTAGGCATGAAAAGTCTCTATTTCCCAAAGAAAACAGCAAATGAGATGATCTAAATGGGAAATGTGACTTGTTTCAAAACTGGCCTTCCCGTAAGAAAATAAAAGGTAGATGGGAGGTAGATGATATACATAAGACCCTTTTTCTCTTCACTCATATCTCAGTTTTTGCCTGCATTGTACAGACAACAGCACATGTATCAATATAACGTGCAAGTTTTGAGACCCAAAATGGAGAATATTGAGTTATCCACTAAATGACTTTCCCCTCAAAGCATCCAATTCCTAAATATAGTTCATTCTTTAAAATGATACTGTCAATTCAGAAATACCTATTTTACAAAAACATCTCTTGTCCTCATAGAAGGAAAATACTGGAAACCCTGTAAAAACATCTGTTGCATATTGCTTTACCATGATCTGTAGTCTACTTGGCCTTAAGGGACAATATTCCTAAGAGTGCAGCACTGAATAATCAATAAAAGATATCAAATTTTTTTTTTTTTGCCGTACGAGGGCCTCTCACTGTTGTGGCCTCTCCCGTTGTGGAGCACAGGCTCCAGATGCGCAGGCTCAGCGGCCATGGCTCACGGGCCCAGCCGCTCCGCGGCATGTGGGATCCCCCCGGACCGGGGCACAAACCCGTGTCCCCTGCATCGGCAGGCGGACTCTCAACCACTGCGCCACCAGGGAAACCCAAAAGATATCAAACTTTGCAAAGACTGAATCCCAAGCACAGATCCTGAAAAGGGCCATTTTGAGAGTATTACGAAAGAGAGGTGTTTCTAAGTTTCAGGAATATTTCGGCTGCATAACAGAGGTCTCACGAAGATGAAAGTTATTATATTCAAAGGAAAGTTAACAAACCCTCATAAGAGAATACAGAACATACAGCTAGTTTCTGGATCTCATTAGATTAGAATAAATGCACAATCTGTATAAGTAAAATTTCTCTCTTCTTGAAGTTTCATGTTAATGTGAGAAATATGTGATAAGTTAGAGACAACGAGAATCACTGTTTTATAGTAATAGAGTAAATAAACCTGCTAAGAATACTCTCCAAAATATTTCATTTACTGTAAATGTAGTAAAATTCTCAGGTCACTTCTCTGTTAAGTGAGATATAAGGAAACATGGTCACATTAAGCACTGATATTGAAACTGAGCAGGACCCTGTGGGGCCTTCCTGGGGACAGATCACTCCCCATGTCCCCTGCCTCTTGTTTGTAGAAAACCTTTAACCTTCTAGGCCTTCCCTGAGTTCCAAAGAGCAATTTTAATCAGAGAAGTGAGAAAATGCAGAAACAAAGGAAAGCAGTCAAACAAGACAAAACAAAATAGTAATAGTTTAGCTGTAAAACGAACTCAAGGTCTTTTAGTTACTCCTCAAGGGCTATAGATAACATCCTGAGTCATAGCCTTGAGTTGTTTTCCAGATACTAAAATCCCCACCAGGTGGAAGAAGCTAATTGCATGATCACCACAGTCTTGTGGCCCCCAAACTGGCTGCAACCTGAGGATCGATAATGCTGACCTCTGTGACCTTACCTGTTACCTCCTCATCAACCAGTCAGAGAATGGTGCATGAGCTGATCGTGCACCCTGTGTGACCCTCTCCCCCACACTGTCTTTAAAAAGCCTTTCCTGAAAGCCATCCGGAGGTTCAGGTCTTTTGAGTATGAGCTGCCCATTCTCCTTGCTTGGCCCTGCAATAAACACTGTACTTTCCTTCACCACAACTTGGTGTCAGTAGATTGGCTTTGCTGTACATCGGGCAAGCAGACCTAAGTTTGGTTCAGTAACAATATCATAAATATTAAAGGATCATTCTATTGTAATGTCAAAAAACAAATCTAAACAATCTATCATAACTGTTGCTCTCAAGGAATTTGCAATACACTACCACTTGGGTAACCTCACCTCACCTCACACACATACATAAATAAGTGGTAAAAACTGACTACAGTCTTACATTACATCAAAAAGAAAAAAGAAAAGAAAAAAATCTTTGTTTTAAAGGATAGTATATCATCTTTTGGAACCTAAACTAGAACAAAAGAAGGGTCCGTGACCCAGAGTTTCTGCACTTTCCAAAAATGGAAGAAATTCCTTACAGAAGTCTAAAGAGTTAGCCCAGAAAAGGAAAGCAGCAGCAAAACAGATTATTTTCCCTATATTTCTGATGGGTCAGATAAAATACGGGCAGGCCAGCTCTGTGGAGGCCAAGGTGAATTAGAAGAGTGAGCCCACGTCTTCCCTTCAGTGTAAGCTATAGTGTTAAACATCTTCATTGTGTTTACGTTGGCTGAGGTTGCTGGATTTGATGCAAACATTTAGCCAGGAGAGCTCTAAGCTCTCCCACAAGGCTTATTAAATGGACAGCAGCAGCTCCCTTTCCCCAGCTACAGAATGACGAATGCGTTCCACTTTTATTACTGTTTAATGCCTCTACCATCAGCAATGATTTTTTTGCTTAATTTTGGCATTTCCTTTTGTCTTGTGTAATTCTTCTCTTGCCACTTCATTAAATTTCTCTATAAATTCCCTTTCTTGGAACAGGCAATATCAATGTAAACATTAAATACTTAACATGCCCAAGTTATATGTCAGTCCTTTACAATTTCATCTCACTTTCTTATTTCCTACCATTGTGCCCATTGTTAGTTAAATAACTCACCTGGACCTCCTTCTCATCCAACAACTTCCCCTGAATCCAAGCAATTGCCTGTGCCTTCTTACCTAGAACAACTGAAACTCTAAATGACATCACCCTCAACCATCTCATCTTTGCTTGTTTAATAGTCAAGTCTATAAGGCAAATACTCCCAGAAAATGGTGTTACATCTCCACAGAAATGCAGATTTTACATTAAAAATAATGTAACAATAAAACTTACATTTTTACAGCTATCTTTACTGTCAGATAATAGTTGTCTTTTTGCGAACGCTATTCCCATATCTGACTCTCCTTCTGTCAAGAATCTATTCTCAAGGCAAAAGGAATGATAACCGTAAAAGAATTATTCATCATTTTTCATTATTTTCCAGATATCTTTTTCTCTCTAATCTTTAATACTGTGGTTGAACTACTTTAAAGTAAAAATAAGAAGACATATTTATCTGTAGTTAAAACTAATGGCTTATTTTTCTTTCCCCCTTTGTGTTTTCGCTACGAATAGTTTAGACCAAGAGAAAATTCACTGATGCCTTATTTTGTTGCTTGGCCCAGTCTTAATCCTCTTGTTGCCATTCAGCTGTAAATACCAACTCAACCCCCAATGTTGCAGGCTTTCAAATCAATTAGGTGACAGTACAGAGTCTAAGTTCCATGAGCAGAGAGTCTAATTAAGGGATTCTGCTGGTACAAGCGAAAGTTAGTGTTAGAAGAGACCAAAAGGAGAAACGTATTTTAAAAAGCATTTACTTTTCAGTCCCTACCTTTAATTAGCTGCATCATTCCAGGGACTATAATTATCAGAATTGCTGTGAGCTTGCAAAAGGTTAGGAAAATCTGGATCCGGGCGCTCCAGCTGACACTCATGCCATTTAGGACCATCACCACAGCTGCAAACAAATAGATGAAGTTAGAAAAGGTGAATCATCATTGGTATGAAGGCGTCTTAGGTTGTGGCTCTTCAAAGTGCCATCCATGAACCAGCAGTGTTGCCATTACCTGGAAGCAGTTGAGAAATGCTTAATCTCAGGCACCACACCAGACCTAAGGACTACAAATCTGTATCTCAGCAAGATCTCTAGGTGATTTTTATGCACACTGAAGTTTCAGAGGCTTGGATGAAACCTGTGAACAGTAAGAAGTTCTCTCTTGTTCTTTGTATATGTCAATAAGAGTGGACAGATATTGTAGCGTCCTAATAATCATATAAAAATACCTTCTAAGCAAATCCCGAAGTCATCACATGCAATGAGATTGTTGAATGTGACTCTTGAGCTTGATACAGCTGGCAACTCTTTCCTCGTTCAATGATTGACCTTGTGCATAGTCACCTGCCAACTGGGCATCACACTCAAGAAGGGGCAATGTGTGAGTTGGGACGTGATTCTTCACCATCAGGACTAGCTGTAGACAGCACTTTTTGCATTTCCTTTCCACGTTCCAATCAGCACAGTCAGGAGTGACTTTCATCCTACCCTAAATGTATATAGGCTTCCCAGATACGTTTTGGAACTTGAAAAAATGTTACAAGGGATGAATCCAAAAGAGTTCCCAGATGCACAGTGGGTCTGAAGCCAGCAGAATTTCCCTTTCTTGGTGATACTGTCCACAGTGTCCCGAGTAGTATTCAACTATTCACTCTCCCCGCACTGTGGACCATGAGAACCTTGAGGGCAGAACAAGCATTATTCATCTCTGTCTTGCTAGTACCCAGCTTCATCCCTGGCCCAGGAAGATCGTCAACATGGTTTTGTTGAATCAATGAATGAGCTGGATCCTCAGTTTTAAAAAACCAACTTCAGCCAAAGAGGAATGAAACGAATGGCGATATTCTCAAACCGTGCCTCCTATACTCTGCTGGAGTGACTTATTCTAGACAGTGGATTTCAACTTTACGCTCTTTCTAAAACCTTATGCTTAGTGTTACTTGCTCCCTCCCCCACTGCCCAAAAAGCTACTTCATACCTGATATTTGTAGTTATTATCTATAAGCTTTATTTTTAAAAAGGTGTATTCTCCCTAAGCAAATAACAAAAATGTATGAAAATACTTTTTCATACATTGTATGAAATGTATGAAAATGTATGAAAATAACAAAAATGTATGAAAATCCAAACACAGAATTCTTACAGTTCAGGTTGCAATAGGAAGCTTTCCATATGTACAATAATGAGTCATCTTCATAGTTCCAATTGCCTGATACAATCATTAGCTCATTTCAGAATTTAAGAATTGGAGCAAATGTATCAACACAATGTATAATAGCAAAAATTTTAAAATAACCTAGCCCCCTAAAGGAAGGCTAATTAAGGTATGCCTTTTTAAGGGTTTACTATGCAGCCATGTAAAATCATGATGCAGTTAAATATTTATTCCACGAAAGACTGTTCATGACGTTTTACTGACCAATACAGCAAATTACAGAGAGATGGGTAGATGATAAATTGATAGGTAGATAGAAAGACAGATGAAGACACAGAGAGAAAGGAACGGAAAAATTCTGAATGAGTGTTTACTAAAACATTAACAGAAGGTATCTACAGATGATAGAATATTGAATAATTTTCAAGTTTAAAAATTTATTTTTCTACATGATTTAAAATAATTTTTATAATGAACATGAAGTATTAAGTAAAAAATCAATAAAAGCAATTTTCATTTTTGAAAACAACTCAAAGATGGGAAGAATAAGGGACCATGAAAAGTTAGATAGGAGGTTACTAATGAAGAAATGTTTCAAAGGAATAATGATGAGAATGATTAGAAAGGCTGGAGCCCTGAATAAGCTACAGGGGAAGCTAAGAGAAATATTTTATCTATGTTTGAAGCTGGAAACATGAAGAAATAGACAGGTCTACTGTTAATCACCAAGTGCATTATTTTATCAGTGAAAAGATAAAAAATAATTATTTTTCTCTCCCCTATACAAAGCACTTATATACTGAAAATAATTTAATGCAACTCTGTGTTCATCTTCATCATCCAGTGATTCTTTTCCTTTTTCTATGTAAATTACTCTGTGATAAATGAGTCATGATAAGAAAGGGATTTTTTTTTTAGTTAAGGAGATTCAGCACTGATCTGAAAATAATTGGGTGCATGTTCCCACCAACAACAAAAGAGCACTGTTTTCTTTTAACTAGAGCTCCTAAAACCCCAAAGTATTTTTGAGAGTATTTTTGAGAGTACTCCACAATAGAAAAGAGCTGTTGTAAGGAGAGGAGGGGAGAAAAACGAGGAAGGAGAAAAAGGAATAGAGGGCGGGAGGGCAGGAAGGAAGAAAAAGAAGAAAGGGAGGGAGGGAGGAAGGAGGAGGGAAAAGAGAGAGGCATTCTCATATTTAGAACCTCTATATATTTGCGAAGAGGAAAGAAGGTTTGTTACGTTCATAAAGAGCGTAGGCATTACATTCAATGCCTATTGAAATAGAAAAAAAATGAGTTTTGGGAATTTTATATTTTGTAACGTTTTCTTAGAAAAACGGAAGACAAAATCAAACAAATATTATGAATGGATAATCTCACCTTGCTTTCCTCTCAGACAGCTGAAATAAAAATTCTGGTTAAGCCTGATTTCTCTCAAAGGTTTCTCAAAACCCTGCTTTATCTGAGCATCCAGACATTGCCCTCATTATTCCATAAGCCAAATTCCAGCTGAGATGTACCTCTATGACCCTGAAGGGATACGGCTTAACAAGTAACAAGGTAGCCAGTACAGAGGCACTGTGAAGGTCCTCAAGCCGCTAGAACTGCTGTTTCATCATGTGTCTTTACAGAGAAATTTAAGTCTATGTATATTGCTTATCCAACAATACTGAAAAGGGATTTGGGATTCACTAACTGCAAGTTTTCAGAGTTTCTGAAACAACATCTACAATACTTTGGTTTTTATACACTATCTATCCACATTGTAATCATCAAAGAAATGTGAGCAAGCTTTCAGTCTAGCTTTACTTCCTTTGAATAATGATGGCTAACTTCATGCATTAAGAATTACTTGTATCAATTTGGGCTTATTATTATTATTATTATTGCTTACCTTAAATGTTACCAAAATGAAAACAGAGGGACATACAGTTTTTATTTACTTATTAATGATGCCGTTTCCTAAGAACTGAAATGCAGCAACAAGGAGTGTTGAAAACTGGTACCATGATTTAAGGACTGGTATTTCTTTCTGCACTTCCGTCATTCAAGTCTGTCTTTTGTTTTGCAGAGTGAGATGACCGAGCCTGGATATATTGGGTTATCTCCCAGGTTCAGGTTCTCCCTGGCTTCTGGCTTCTGACTGCTCTGTGCTAAACTGGTAAAATATATGGACAGTATATGGATGCGACATGGTGAGCTAAAGTGAATTGTTCCACTGTTCTTTGTAGCAGCTGCCTGGGTCGCCTCTGTCTCTTTGCATTCGTTTCCTGGATACATTAATTTCAGATAGGCTTTTAGCAATAAACAACCTTTATAAAGCAGAGAGACTATATCTAGGATCTCACTATTGGGAATAAAAATGGTAAGCCTTAAATAAATACATACTCTTGTTATATGACAGACATTGTGCAAGGACCTTACGTGGATAACGTTATTTAATCTTATCTCTATGACGTGGTTACCATCACTGGTGTTATTTTTCTGATGAGCAGCTGAGAATCCAGATATTACTTAACTTGCCCGTGTTCACGAAGGTAAGGTGTAAAGATAGGACTGAAGCCAAGTAAGCTGACCCCAGAGTCCACACTTTTACCAGTCGTTCACAGGTAACAATGAGGAAGTAGCTCAGAAGACACATACGATCTCACTACTATACCTAGTTCTTCCAAACTCCCGGTGACTCTTCCTCTCTGCTAAGGTTCATGTTTATCTTGGCTGGGATTTCAGGACACTTTGATTTCACATTTTATTTCTCATCCTCCTGAAGGGTACCGTTGCTGTTCTGTGCTCCTTGTATATTTCAACACGACACGTATTTACCTAAGAATTGCTTGTCATGGTATCTAGTTATGGTAGAAAAGGAGTAGGGATAGTCCAATTTCAGATTTATAAAGAGCCACTCCATGTACAATGTCTGAGAAGCTAGCACAGAACTGGGCCTAGAGTTTCTTTCATGTAATTTAATGATGCCAGGGAAGGACAGTTTTAGAAAAGAAAGTACAGTACTGCATTTGTAGAAATGGCTATTTCTTTTTCCCACATCGCCATCATTAGTGTTACTTTGTTTCCTTCCCCCAATTATTCCCACAGGTTATGGGAAGAAGGTACGGCTCTTTACTCACCTACGTAAACTAAACTAGTAAGAAAATTGAGATGGAGAGAGAGGCTGTTAGGGATGCATCTGAGACTAGATCCCACATTTTATTTTATTTTATTTTATTATTTTGCGGTACGCGGGCCTCTCACCGTTGTGGCCTCTCCCGTTGCGGAGCACAGGCTCCGGACGCGCAGGCTCAGCGGCCATGGCTCACGGGCCCAGCCGCTCCGCGGCACGTGGGATCCTCCCGGACCGGGGCACGAACCCGTGTCCCCTGCATCGGCAGGCGGACTCTCAACCACTGCGCCACCAGGGAAGCCCTAGGTCCCACATTTTAAGGAAAGTATTTTTATTATAATATTCTGCCATTCGAGTGTATACTTAAACAGGGTCTAGTTTCAGGAGTGCAGAACCAAAAAACTACATATCATTTCAACTACTGAACATACTTCAATGTTTATTGAAGCTACAAGGAGAGTGAAAATTCATGGAGTTCCATAAAAGTTAAAGGGAGTAATGTCAGTATTGGGCTAGAGGAGAGAAGACAAATGTGAATATATAAGATTTCCCCGTTCAACTTCCGTGTGCCTGATACGTTTACCAGAATGGACAAGATGTGGGGTAAGCCAAAACTTCTCATTTTTGTTAATTTGACAGAAACGAGGTAGAGTACTTTTAAAAGGGGAGGGGGTGAATTAGTGTTCAGTAATGCCCCCCTACCACCCCACTCTCACTTCTCAAGTGGTTGGTTAAGGCACTCTGCTAAGTGTTAAAAATCTGACGAACTTCGTCCTTCCACAGCCATTCAAGATAAATGATCTTTTCACAGGTATTTTACCAATAAATAAAAACAATGCTTAAAGAGGTTTAATATTTAGCCCTAAATCACAAAACTAAGAAATTATGACACTAACTTTCAATTCCAGGTAGTTTGCCTCCAGAGCCTGAGTTATCACCACTATGCTAAGATGGTTCAAAAATTCAAAAATTCATGGTGTTAGATCGGAGCAAACTATTTACCTCCATCTTCCTGCTGCCTGAGAGACCTGAAGATGTGTAATCCTCCAAGTTTAACACACAGGCATTCCATTGGCTTCTCTACTAGAGAAAAATTCTTACACCTCTTCTCATAAAAATCAGTTGTCAATAAATATTTACTGAGCGCAAACGACATGCTAGGTGCTATGGGAAGGGCTGGAAACACAGCAGTGAGTAAGCCCCTGGTCTCATGGAATTTGATGAGATGTTTTCCCACAAGAGTATAAAGAGCTACCATTTGTAACTTCATTCTTAAAAAATTTCTGGCATTCTCCAAAACACTTTATATACATTGTCTCTTTTACTATCGTTTCATCTTCACAAGACACCTGATGAGACTGGGCACGATTTAAAGGTAAGAACACGGAAGTGCAGAAAGTTGAAGTGATGTGTCCCCAAGTCTCACATCGGTAGTATGTTATCAAGGGCAAGGTGAATCAAGAACACCATTACCTTTCCAGAACTCAGAAATGTCTAATTCGAGTATTTTTCTTTGCCTCCCTTGAAAGATTTCACCGAACAATTATTTGTGTAGGTTCCATGAATGAGGGGGGAGAATCCAGGATGAACCTACTTAAGTCCAGAAATACATGTACCCAGCACTAGGGATATTTTAAGTGCAATTCCTAACTCTTTCCTGCTAACTGACCACTCACCCCTCTACTGTCAAATGTTCATGTCTCTCTTCGTTGTTCTATTGAAATACTTCAGTCACGTACAACTACAAATTCTTTCATGGGTATGCAGTTCAATTATTCCTGGGGAGCTCTCTAGCTCCAAGTAGGTCAAACTTCATCAAGTGGGATCATATGGATTCTGAAAACAGTGATTCAGTTAGTATCTACAAGTAAGTGATCATCTCCCATTATATTTAAGAGTTTGGAATGTCGACTCTTATAACAGGAAGTTAGAGTCATATTGGGCTTCATATCACTTATATCATGTTGGCCATGTTCCTCTTTTTTAATTTCCTTTTTTAAAGAGAGTTCTAATATCTGTGCCCATTGGTGAAAATGAACAACTTCCTAATTTAGAGACAATAAAGAAGACTCCTAGTTGAGGAACATTACTAATAATCAAATACTGGAGGAAGACTCTTGTGACCATCGATGGACAGCTAAAATCCTAACACTGAGGGTGACAGCTGCTAACACTAGGAAATGCACGAACACTACACACACCCAACACACAAACGCCATTCCATGAGGCTAAGTGCGTTCTAATTCAACACGTTATCAGTGAGGAAGGATATTTTCCAATACAGAATCCATTTAAAAATTGGGTTTTCATTTGTAAACGTCTCTTTTTATGTACAATCCAGTTACTATTTTACTAACAAAGTGGTTTTGTTTGCCTATTTTAAAAGCTTAGCCGTCAGAGCTACTGACCCGGTGCAAAACGGGCATGTAATGTCATATCAGGTATCACTCCACCTCCTTATTCTTTTCTTTGTTTTCCAAACACAAACTTGGCAGTGCACTGTAAGCAAAAAGAACATCATGTGGGAAGCAGTCCCGCCACACAAAAAGTCTTAAGAAACTTTGTCTCCAATCCCTGTTGTAGGGATTTTTTTTTCTTTTTCATATTTACACCTATGATACTCACTTATGCCCACAGCTGTAATGAGCTTGACTGCAAGTTCAGGAATTTCACACTGAATGAAAAATGGTTCCAGAATGTACCGTCCAAAGGCCAGAGATATCACAGCAGTGGCTGCAGGGCTAGAAAAAACAAATACATATTTAGGTTAACTACAGAAAAAGAAAAGAGCATCTTCACTCAACTTGTTCTACACTGAGGTGCTATTATTCAGCATGTGGAACATATTAAATACGGAAGTCTGTGATTTTCAGAAGTCCATATTTGATTAGGTTGTCATAGACATTCCAAATGAAATACTGTCTACAACTTTGCTGGCTCCTTTTTAAACTTCACATCTCCTTGGGTACAAGGCCGGGTACTGTCAGTTTTGCCCCTGCCTTCCCATATTTGAATTTTTCTTAAAAATTGAGTTTATTACTTGAGATCCTGACGGGGTGGGCTTCACGAGAAGCAATCTTCTTTCTCCGTAAGTCAACAGTTAAACTCCAGTACAGTATGAATGCATTAACAGTGCAGGTCTAATGGGTTGGGTCATGGTCAGAAAAGGAACACAAAACTCACCTTAAAAAAATTAGTACTAATAAGTGTTCATTGCAAATATATGCTTATGTGCTTGATACTGTATTAGTCCTTGTTTTCCATACAGACCAAAACTTGAAGAGCCAAGTGATTATTCTTAATTCCACAGAAATATTTAGATGCAAAGTATACATTGAAAACTAAAAGTATTCTTGTAATTTTACAAATGGAGAAAACATGCATGAAATAAGAAAATGCAATAACTTCAGGTATATAGTGAAATAGGTAACAAACCATTCTATCTTAATTTTTCAACTATTTCTATGAAAAGATTACAGATGTCTTTCAGTTTAAATATATCTATATATGAATGCATATTTGTTAGATACACAGGCAAGTCCATGATATTATCTACTTTGTCCTGCCTGTCTTCCCTTTCAGCTTATCTTCCTTCTCATGGTTATACAACACCCATGTCCAACTCCTAACTGTCAGAAAACCAACCACCATTATGTGTTCCAACCTTGACCTGCCAGTACTAGCATGACAGATTTCTTGATTTTTTTTTTTTCTTTTCCAAGAGAACCTCTTCCTCACCCCAACAAGCTTATTTTTCTCGGTCACCATCATTTATAAATTTTTGACGTATAAATTAAAATCTGATCATGACATCGTAGTGCTTTCAAAACATGCTCAGGATATGCAAAAACTCTTCAATTCAAGGCTCTATCCGCTCTAAGCTTTTCCTTCCTCTTCAGTGTGCTTCTTCCCACACAAGGATATGAATACCCTTTGCCTGAGGCCCCTGCAACTCACTGACGGTTTCTTATACCTCAGGTCTTAGTTCAGTCTTTTGCCCAAGGAAGCTTCTCCAGTCCTCTGATTGGGTTAGATCTCCCAGAGTGTACTCTCTTCCGGAACCTCATGGCTTCTCTTTCACGGTGTGTATCACAGTAGTAACTTTATATTCTCTTATGTGATGTCTTGATTCATAACTATTTCCCTCATTTGACCCTGAGATCCATGAGTACAAGGCTGTGTCCAACTTAATCATTATTTCATCTTCAGTGTATAGTATAGTGTCTGTCATACAGTAGGAACCCAATGAATATTGAATATATAGTCAATGTGTGAATTCAATCAAATGACCCCTGATGTGTGATTTTTTTTCCCTTAAGATTTGTTTTTACAGACTAATTCTGACAAGAGTGTCTTAACCTGATGTACAATTTTAATAGTAAGTATTTAGGTACCATGGGTGTTTTCAATGGAAGAGAAATGTTAAAGTACCTAGGTATCTTGTCACCCCTGAAGCCATTCATTACTCTGCCTATCTGAGAAACCAGTTGAGTAATGTAAGTCCATTATTACAAAGAAATATATGAACCCATTAAAAAAGCTTCTAGAATATATCTAGGTAATTTCTTCTGTAAACACACACACACACACACACACACACACACACACCGCGAAGTAGCTCTCCCGTGATTAAAGTAACATTTGATTATGAGCTGCTTGAGAATAGGAACCATGGCTCACTCCACTTCAGGTCTCTTTAACGTGCCATTCACCATTCAGTAGCAGTTTGTGGAATGAATAAGTGAATGCATAAGCACCGTTTCGGTGCCACTACCGCAAATGGAATGATCATGCTCATCACACTGCCAATACAATCAGCCAATACAGGACTAAAGCAGGACTCAAGTCCAGCTACATCAGGTTCCAAAAGCCTACTGTCCTGACAGGCCAGCACTCGAAATAAGTAGTGTAGCCATCTGAATGCTGAGTATGTTGTATTCAAAATATTATAACCTTAACCTTTCAGTTACTTGTTCAAAAAGAATTTAATATCTGATCATCAAGGCACTGAATTAAGTAGTATAAGGGTTACAAAAAGTGTGAGACTTGGTCTTATATGCTTGAAATGCTTGCAGTTTTAACAGGGAAACAGAGCACGGATTCCTAAAATATTAAGTAAGGTTATATGACATCATGTTCAATGTCAAACGAGAAGAAGAGACTGCATTTTTTTCAGAAGAATTAAGAGAGGAAAGACATACTATAAACTAGGGTGAACAGGAACTTAACTGTGGAAATGATAGAATTTAAGTTGACCTTTGAAGAGTAATATTCAGATTATCAGAAAAGAGTGGAAGGCGCATCCCGGGCCAATCCCAGAGTTTAGAAAAGGAACAAAATACCTCTTTATCACTATTGCATTATAACAAATTTTAAATAATGCAGAATTGTCTAAAAGGAGAACAGATTTAACAAAGAAGTAAATACTACTCTAAGCTCTTTGATAAAAAAGAGACTCCTAGAACTATAAAAACCAAGATTAGTGTTAAGTCAATACTTATTAGCTCTGCATTTGCCACTTAGGCCCACATGACAGGATAAAAGCTCACAGGAGCTCTCAGCTGTGTAAGTTTGATAAGTTTACAGTAAGAGCAAGTGTCCCTACTTACTCATGTTAAACTCTGCAATCAGAATGTGCTAGTCACATTTCACGGATGCCGTTTGCCTTCAAGATACTTTTAAACTTCTCAGGTGACATCGTAAGTTTCCCACAAAGTTGGAGGAAATTTGCTGCTCAGAGTGACCTAGCATTATTTGGTTTGATTTTAAACCAGGGCAATCAGGAAGAGGAACGTATTCTTACAAAAATAAACTCAAAAAAGCTTTCCGCAACAGTAGTTCACTGATTTGTTTAAGATGAGGATATGAGTCATCTGTGACAAGTGAAGTTTTGTTCTTTTATAGAGTATAAAACTTGGTAACAGGCTTCCCTGGTGGTGCAGTGGTTAAGAATCCGCCTGCCAATGCAGGGGACATGGGCAACTAAGCCCATGCACCGTAACTACTGAGCCTGCGCTCTAGAGCCCGCATGCCACAACTACTGAGCCCACGTGCCACAACTACTGAAGCCCGCATGCCTGGAGCTTGTGCTCCACAATGAGAAGCCACCGCAATGAGGAGCCCACGCACCGCAATGATGAGTAGCCCCTGCCTGCCACAACTAGAGAAAGCCCACATGCAGCAATGAAGACCCAACACAGCCAAAAAAAAACAAAAACAAAAACAAAAGCAACAACAACTTGGTGACATACTAAATTGTTAGGAACAGAAGCTTCCTAGTCACGAAAACTGAGTAAACTAAGATGGCTTAATGGTGTAATCTACAAGAAGAAAAACTCCAGTTCCTATAACATAACATTTAATTTTGTCTAATTATGATTTACAATCAAACAAAAGGTCTGATTTATCAAGGTAGATTTTGATGCTTCATATCCTTTTCAAGTCAGCATCTGTCCTGAAAATGTCATGGAAAATAGTTGAATATTAACAAAAATCAGGTGCTTTAAAAGTTTGGCAGGGTTGGCAAACTACCGCCAGTGGCAAAATTGTATTAAACACATTAATTAAGAAAGGTATTCCATCACAGATTTTATGTCCTGAAGTAGACATGTTTACCATATAATCACATGACATGTATATTTCTAACTACTTAAAAATAATCAAGGTGATTAAAAAATGGTATAATGAAGGGCTTCCCTGGTGGCGCAGTGGTTGAGAGTCCGCCTGCCGATGCAGGGGAAACGGGTTCATGCCCCGGTCCGGGAGGATCCCACATGCCGCGGAGCGGCTGGGCCCGTGAGCCATGGCCGCTGAGCCTGCGCATCCGGAGCCTGTGCTCCGCAACGGGAGAGGCCGCAGCAGTGAGAGGCCGCAGCAGTGAGGCCCGCGTGCCGCAAAAAAAAAAAAAAGGTATAATGAATAGATTTATTTTTCCTTAATTTTTTTGTATGTAGGCTCTTACCGTATAATGAGCAGTTCTACCCAGACTCGCACAAAAGCTGGTAATGGGCCAAAGACTTCCAGAATGTATGTGTAATGACCACCAGATTTCCTTATAGTTGTTCCCAGTTCAGCATAGGACAAGGCTCCTGTGAAATATTTATCATAAAAAGGTGAAAAGTTAAAATATTACCAAGTCATCCAGCAGTAGAATGGATACAACAATGTTTCTGTTGTGTGAGATGTTACTACATCCTTTGATCTGAATGACATCCTTTTTCAAAATTAATAACAGTCATCGAATTCCTAAGAGCCTCCAGATTCCTCTTGTAACCTCCTCACATTTGAGATCTAGTTCATTCTATTCAAACAATGTAATTTGACTTGAAGTAGTAAGGACAAACTTCTCAAACAATATATTATTAAGAATTTTGAATCTCAAACCTGACAAGAGAAAAGGAGTAGATGGATGCCAATATTACTAACCTATTTTTCAAAGAACTTCACATCAAAACAAGGAATTACCACAAATTGACCTCATTATATTGAGAATCCTTTTAATAAATGATATTTCTGTGGCATGTCAAAATAAATAAGATTCATCTGTTCTCCAGAGAAGTATGGACTCAAGGCTTTGGAAGGCTTCATTTAATTTGTAGGATACGTTTTGTTGGTCAACAAAATGAATTTTGACGCAGATATTCTGTTTTTAGGAAAGTTTTTCTTGCATGTCTTCGAAGTACACACTCTGTATGGCTGAAATAACACATACTTTTAAAAAAGAGGTGCTATGACATATTTACATACGTTAGGTAAAATTAACTATGGACCAAATTTTAACATTTAGCAATAAACTTCACACAGAGCTGAGCAAGTTATATAATCCCCCCAAACCTCAGTTTCATCCTCTGTAAAATAAAGATCTTAATTCTCACATCACAAGGAGTTTGTGTGTTTAAATATAAAACGGATGCCAAGGACAGCGCTGAGCCTGACACGCAGAAAGCACCTCATGAAATACAGCTATATCTACTAATGTGAGCAATTAATTTCCAAGAAAATGAAAAATATATTTTGACATTATGTGAAAAGTTCCATCCATACTGCTAAGTACTCAAACGTAAGACATAATTTCTGCCTGGCCGCTCTGGAGACTCAAAGTGTGGGAAATTATTACTAACCAGTAAAGCTTCAGGTAGAACTGTCCAACATGAATGTAATTTGGATATTCAGCAAAATCTTAGTGTCAGTTACTGTATTCCTGTATCACTTATTGTATTCCTGAAACTAGTACTGTATCAGAGTCACCTGGGGAGAATTTTTTATTTAAAAACAAACAAAAAACAAATGCTAAGGCTATACCCCAGACCTCCTCTCTAACCAAGAGAGGCCAGACTGTCCAATAGAGGCATCCAAGAAAATCTATTATTTGAAAATTCACACCGGTTAATTTTAAAGTAACTAGTCTACAGATTGATATTTGGGGATCACTGATATAGCCTGTCTATTTATAACTAATTGGAACTAGTTGCAATTCACTCTCTGTTGGAAACCAGTCACCATGTTGGTAGGCTGTACAAAGAAGCAGCCAATATAAAATGTTATTGCAAAGTGTCTTAAGTACCTCAGAATTTATCCCCCAAGAATCAATACCTAGACCTTTGTATGCTTTGCTGAAACTCCAGGATAGTTGCCCCAGGTTTAAATTGAGTTCTGGAGAAATGAAATTTTCATTTAAAGGTCTCAAGCTCCATAACCATTTTACCCAGATGAAAAAAGTTCAGAATAGGTTGTAAGAATCCATGTATTGACCCTGGCTTAAAAAAAAACCTGTAAATCCAATATACAAATTCTTTAGTTTTAGTCCCAGAGTTCTAGAGTTCTAAGACAAAGGATTTTTTTGCTTATATTTTGCTTTGCTTCCTGTTAAGAAGGTACTCCTATCAAAGTTCCTAGTAACTTAAGTGATAAATGCAATGCAAATATAGATAAGTAGGTTAGTACAGGAGCACACTCACTGCAGTTAGTAATCAAAGAATACCAACTCAAGTACAAACTTAGCTAGTCCCTTTAGCTTTTTTTTTTTTTTTTCCTGAACTTCTTGAGATGATATACTTGTGCAGAAGCATATTTTCTTAGTACAGGTCAACACCACTATCATCACTTTAACTAGTTAACCATCCATTTTATTATATCTGAATAACCTTTTATTGTGTACGAAAATGGAATCGCATAGTGGGAGCTGCATGCACACAGTATGCAAAATCCAGGAAGCTGGTTATGGTTTCTCCTATCAGACACTGATTTGTTCTGAATATACCACGTGTTGGAGAAGATTAAAGGCTGAGGAGGCATAGTCATTTAGAAAGATCAACAGTTAAGTTTCTCTTTGTTCATCTATAAACGTACATGCCACACCATATGAATGCCACGAACTCTTTGTAAGCTAAAATAACCCAAAAATTATTCCTCTGTAGATCTTTCTATACAGCTTTTGTTTTAACAAGTTTTATTTAAAATACCTTCTTCCTAATAACGGAAGTTGGAGTTCTCTAGATGAATGCTCAAACCAACGCTGAAAACACTGCAAGGCCTTAAGAATAAATGGATTGGTCCGTGTAGGACCAAGAGTTAGTACTTGGTCCTAGAGTTTGGACAGAGTTAGTACCTTTAAAGAACAGTATCTTTTGAAATCAGAATATACTGTTTGCCAGAGAAGAGCAAATACGTCTTAGACATGTTTCCCATAACATAAATAAAATTTAATTTTCTTGACCGTTCACCAGTTTTTGTCACCTTCACAACTAACCCAGGTAGCTCTCTAGTAATGTGCCCACCTCATGAGGGGACATTTATTACCTCTTTACTATTAATTATCAAGTCAATAAAAGAGATCTAGATTTTGAAGAAAAATTAATAATCATACTTCTTCTACCAGTTCTGTTTAGACTAACTCAGCAGACAGGTGGGCCAATGACCTGTGTCTCTGAAGACCAAGTGAACTAGAAATGAAGAAAACAGAGCTGGGCAGACACAGCAAACTAACACCCAATTCCAATTTTACAATTTATATTGCAAAGGTTTATGGGTACTGGGGAGAGATGAAAAGTTGAAAAAACTGTGAAATATGCTCAGACCCTTGCAATATTCTCATTTACAAAAGGAATTGAATTGTATGCCATCACACTTCTTTCCACAATAAGGACTTTTGGAAGAATACTGGGAACTGACAAGCGCATGAAGTTAAAAAATTAAAAAGGAAAAGACTGCCACCCATTTGTTTAGCCAATAAAAAGTCAGTAAAACTTCTGCTGAACACTCAGTTCTGTGTCTAAACAGGCCACACCGGGTTTCACTTCACAGGTGTTTCATTCAGTGCGCCAGCTGCCAAGATGCCCCAAACACAGGTAACTGAGCACAGATGCCTGGTACAGAAAGCTTGCCTGTATTTTACTGGGTCATCAAAGCTAGCCTTGACGTTCATTGCCACAGGGAAAAATCAGAAAATAATCTACCTTAGTCAGGAAAAGCGAGCACAGCCTACAGGTCGCAATTTCAGGGAATTCAGGATTCTGCCAACAGTGGAGAGTGTGCGTGGACAGTTCGCATACCTCCCCCCAGATCAGAAAATCTGGGGGAACCCTGGCCATTCATTCCCTCCTTAGAAATCACCCTCTGTTCTCCCAGAGAGCACGGCACCCAGCCCCACAGACACACCCCCAGAGAAGCGGCAACACTCACCAAACAGTGACAGGACCCCGCAGACCGTCCAGACAACCAGGGACAAGCCCACGCTGCCCGTGTTCTGGAGCACGCCCTTAGGAGAGATGAAGATTCCTGCTCCGATGATGGTCCCGATGATGATGGAGATCCCTCTCAACAGACTGATCTTCCTCTTCAGCACAACTTTCTCCTGCCCAGGTGGCTCCTTGCCACCCAGGGAAGACAGCCTCGTGTTAACACTGCCCTGCAGGTAACCCCCATTGGAGATGGTGGATGCCACAGCCTTTCTGACCATGGTAGTGACCCGCAGGGAAAAAAGGAAACAGAGCAAAAGAAAGAAAGAAAAAAAAAAAGAAAATTAAAAGAATAAAACCTCCAAACTTTCAACTTTGGTGTCTCTTGGGGTGACTGACCGATTTGATCTCTTCCTCTTTGCCTTCAGATTCCTTCTCAGCGCTAGTGTGCTCCCAGGTAAAAACTCTAAGGTGTATTTTCACCTTCCGCAATCTAATTACTCACAGGAACACCTGTGTGCTCGTTCATGGTGTTCTGGTTTCTCCACCTCCCGGACTACCTCTGCGGCTGAGGCTGCGGCTGCCTCCCTATCATTACAGCCCAGCTCAACTTCCTCATGGGCTGGTATTTAAGCTGCTGCCTGTCTCACCAACTTACTCCAGCTAGATGATGATGCAAATTCTCCAGGTTTGCATCAGCCACATGAGAACGCTCCAGCATTACTCAGCTCTTTTTTTTTTTTTTTTTTTTTTTACCACAAGCCGCAAGTTGCTCAACTGACCAAAGCTTTCAGAGAACAAAGCACACTCTTAACAGGGATCTTAACCAATCCAGAAGTAGTAAATTCGGAACAGACCTTCCGAGAGATTTCAAGCAACTCCTAGTGAGGGACAAAAGCTCTTCACTCGAAAAGAAAATGAAAAATGAAACAGGAAATGATCACTGTGTTGAAAGGAGTTTCTTTTCTTTAACGTACAAATAAAATCGTTTATACCAACCTTTTGATCACAGAACAGAACTCAAAGCTGCATTGTTTGTAACAACAAAATTTAGATTTCATGATGCTTCCTGCTTATTTAAATTTCTTTTTATTTTTGGGTTTCCTAGCAACACGGTCAAATCTAATATTTACAAACCTAGAATGATTCTGTATAGCTGCTGTCACGCACATAACAACTGTGAGTTTTACTTAACATTAAAAGATAAAAATTATTTCTTACTTCCCATAATAACACCAGTACTTAAAATTGCCATCTGAGTCTGACTACTTCAAAAATCACAGTGACTCCAGAAAAGAGTCATTTTCTGATTCTCATAAGTGCTAGGTGATCTCCTAAACTAAGTAAAAGATATACTCTTCATTTGCATGTTGTTCCAACAAATTACACACACACAAATCTAATTTCAATATTAAGCAAAATTTACAATGATATAAAAACATGCATATAACAAAGGCTTGAGAAGGGATACACAGAATAAAATTGAGGAAAGTGTTAAGATTATGTAGGAATTTTTTCTAAAGTATAGCAACTATTGTTATATTATGATTATAAACTTAGAATGAATTAGAAATATAAGCTAAGATTAAAATGTTTAGTTTGCTAATAAGGACCTACTGTATGGCACAGGGAACTCTACTCAATACTCTGTAATGGTCTATATGGGAAAAGAATCTAAAAAAAGTGGATATATGTATATGTATAACTGAATCACTTTGCTTTACACCTGAAACTAACACAACATTGTAAATGACCTATACTCCAATAAAAAATTTTTTTTAAATGTTTAGTTTGAAACAGTAAGAAAGGCAAACATTTAAAAACCCTATTAACTTTCTTAACCAAGTGTCCATAAAACAAATGCTGAAAGAAAAGAAATCCTAGGTATCACTTTTGGCTGTGGTCATAGGTGGTTTTGGATTCAGTGAGAAGAATTAGATGTTATCATTACCCTGAAGCTACATTTGCAAACGTGATTAAATATGCTTCTGAACAGCTAAGCAAAGACAACAGACAGAAAACTTGTGTGTGCAAGGTGGAGGTGGGGATGGAGAGGGGGTCAGGATGACACAAGAAAGAAACAGCCACTAGAAAGTAGCATGGAGAAGGTCAGACTGTTTTCTGTTATGTTGGCACCTGAGGAAATGATACCACATCAGTGCTCTATCATCCAGATAACTGAGGCTACATCATTTCTTATTTGTATTATGTAGCTAAACCCTACGTATTTTGCTTTGAGTATACCAAGTTAGGGTTTTTATCAAGCCAAAATAAATACTTTTCCCAGCTGCATGTCTTTCAAAAAATAAAGATGGGTAGTTTTCCTCATTCAACCTTGTTGAAATGCCAAAAAAAAAAAAAAAAAAGAAGAAAAAGCTATAGGAAAAAAAAAGAAGCTAAAGGAAGATTCTATTTCTCTTTCTCCTCCTAGGAGTCCTTCAATCACACAATTCTCCTGACTAATGCACATAATGAAGAGAGGAGAGGCCTTTGTTTCCCAAAAAGGGGAACAGATTAGCCCTGAAGAAATATGAGTTAAAAGTAGAATGCAAACTAACGCAGAGCCACAGTTCAATTTTAAATTTTGTGCTAAATGTCTAAACTCATAAATTGAGAGTAAGAATGCATTCAGACAGAAGTTAGATACATTCTAAAGGACGAAAAATATTCTTTTAATATCAAATGACATTCTCCTCCTTTGGAGTATTTTTTTTTTTTGCGGTACGCAGGCCTCTCACTGTTGTGGCCTCTCCCGTTGCGGAGCACAGGCTCTGGACGCGCAGGGTCAGCGGCCACGGCTCACGGGCGCAGCCGCTCTGCGGCATGTGGAATCTTCCCGGACTGGGGCACGAACCTGCGTCCCCTGCATCGGCAGGCGGACTCTCAACCACTGCACCACCAGGGAAGCCCCCTTTGGAGTATTTTTTAAAATTATTTACGAAGAAAAGTTACTGAAGTTAGAACAATGGCCAAAAGGATTGTACTATCTATGTAAAACACAGTCACATTCAAAACCTCTGCATAGCTGCAAAACAGTTACCGAAGACACCCGTATATCTCATCCAGTCGCCCAGAAATTTACAGAAAGTGTAGTTTGTAAAGAAAATATTGAGTTACCTTCTGGGTTACTTTATAAATCAACAGTCCTAAACTTATAAATTAAAAAATTGTATGGTCTTCAAATATGCGTGTATCATGAAAATTAGTTCCAAGCAAATGCATTTATATCCTCCGTCCTGCTTTAGGCCTTATTTTAAGCATTCCTGTCAAATTGGGAAACTATTCGAGTGCTATTTACAAATATTAATTTAGTGCACGAGAAATAGCCCCCGTTCCCCAAAAGCATTTCATGGAAGAAACAGATGTGATATATCGTGGTAGCTTCCCTTTTCTGGTAATAATGTCTGTTCCATGATTATAACTATGGGCATATAATGAATGACCGGGCCAAATATAATCATCTCCCCAGCTGCAGGGTATAGGAATGTGGCCTGAGCTGGTATATTTCTAAACAGAATTAGATTTATTTTTTTTTTCATCTGTCAGAAGTTGTAAAGGTGTGACCCTAGAACAACTGGAGGCCATGTCCCCTGCCATATTGAGAAAATCCTTGCAAAATAAAGAGAATAAGCAGAGAAGAGAGATACTTAGTCCCAACATCATCAAGCCCTGTTTTCATTCCTCAGGAACTCAGATTGGCTCTGTATCCTGAAGGTCTTCCTTCAATTCTATAAGCTACTTAGTTTCCTGGTTAAGTATGCTACCTTATGCTACACATGAGAAAACAATTGCATTTGGGTGGTAGAGTTAAATGTAAATGGCATATCATTAAAACCTCTAAACTAGGTTATTATGGCATATTGATAGCCACATATGATAGCCCTTAGACACATATGGGTATCAGCACTTGAAATGTGCCTAGTCCAAATGGGGATGTGCTGTAAGTGTGAAATATCCACTAGAATTTGAAAGCTTTTTTTTTAAAGAACAAAAAATATCTCCTTAATAATTTTGTTATCTCTATTAATTTTTCCAGCTTCATTATATTTTTAATGTGGCTACTTAAAAATTTAAATCATATGTGTGGTCCAAATTTGTGGTTCACATTGTTTCTAATGAACAGTGCTGATCTACAAGAAAACAGAGACTGTATTTCCCAACTTGGTATAAGTGGGGATTTCTTAAAAAGGACACACGAAGTACTAACCATAAAAGAAAGGTACGTTGGAAAATATTAATATTAAGAATTTCAGTTCATCAAAATACACGATCAAGAGATTCACGATACAGGGCTTCCCTGGTGGCACAGTGGTTGAGAGTCCGCCTGCCGATGCAGGGGACACGGGTTCGTTCCCCGGTCCGGGAAGATCCCACATGCCGCAGAGCGGCTGGGCCCTGAGCCCATGGCCGCTGAGTCTGCGCTTCCGGAGCCTGTGCTCCACAAAGGGAGAGGCCACAACAGTGAGAGGCCCGCGTACCGCAAAAAGAGAAAAAAAAAAAAAAAGATTCATGATACAAAATACATGATCAAAATACATAATCAAAAGTGAACCATAAGGTGGAAGAAGGTATTAACACCTGGCAAAGATCCCACATCCAGAACAAATAATACATTTCTACAAATCAATAGGAAAAAGACAGATAACCCGGTAGAAAATGGGCAAGAACTCTGAACATACACTTGATAAATACATTTGATGTGAAAATCTACAGTAAATGGACATCTTTTTGGAAAACAAATAGATACTGAAATGGCCCTGAAAAATAAAACAAATAGAAAAAATTGAATAACCAGTTAAGGTGGTAATCAAGGATATCCTTGGCTCAAAAAAACAAAACTAAGCTTCATTTGATTTACAGATAAGGCCTACCAAATTTTTATGAACTAAATAATCTTTCTTAGAAAAGTTATTTAAGAGAATGGAAAAAGAAGAAACATTATCCAACTCACTTTTGTGAGTCTAGTGTAGGAGCTGGCAAACTTTTCTGTAAAAGGCCAGGTAGTAAATATTTAGGCTTTAAGGCCACACATAGTCTCTGTCCAGTGTTATTTGTGTGTGTGTGTGTGTGTGTGTGTGTGTGTGTGTGCATGTGTATGCATTTGTGGTTTACAACACTTTAAAAATGTAAAAATTATTCCTAGCTCTTGCGTAGTTTGCCAACCCTTGGTCTAGTAATACCTTGACTGCAAATAGGATAAGGTCATGCAGTCACTGCACTAGCTGTGACAGATGACTTTGTAAATAATTTTTTATTAAAGCATAGACATGCCCACTTATTTGTATATTGTGTTTGGCTACTTTCACACTACAACGGCCGACATGAGTAATTGCAACAGAGACTGAATGGAGCACAAATTGGAAACTGCTTACCATCAGCTCTTTACAGAAAGTGTGCTGACCCTGGCCTAAGAGAACACACAGGAACTGCCAACCCATTTTTAAATTTTATTTTGTCTCTTGCTAGTAACTGTTCTTGAGTATTCAGAGCTTGCTAGTCCTACAAGATAGACATGCTGCAGCCTTAGGGCATTTGCAATTGCTATTCCCTCTGCCTGAAATTTGATTCCCTTAATATCTACATGTTTCATTCTCACCTGCTGTACTAACTTCTATCACAAATAATCATTCTTTCTCAGTTAGTTTT